AACAACCGTTTAATTGGGTTAATTAGTTGATTAGTTTGTTTTGACTCACAAGCCAAACAACATACACTTGCATCAACGTATGCACATTATATTATGTTAATACATTATTATCTAATCCTAATATTTTTGACGTTTTTTTTTTGGTTTGTAATTTAGAAAATTCACTATTATTTACTTTATTAATTTGGTATTTCATTATTCTCATCTAATTCATTGTTATTACACATGTATATATTAATTAATTTTATGTAATAATATTTAATAGGATTTAGTTTACAAATTTCAATTAATGAATGAATAATAAATTATGAACCAGCATTTTTATTTGTAATCATCATTATCCAGAAATCAGAAATTCAAAAAAAAAAGTGGAGGCATTTCTTTAATTGGAAAAGGTTACTGAAAAGTAACAGTAATTGGATTTTTCATACATACATATACTCACACACACATAAATCGTAATGGCTAAGTTCATTATATGTATGTATTGTATGTAAGTTATGTAAATTTATTGGAAGAACAAACAATCTTAATAATGAATTGGAGGAGTGTGTGATGAATAACATATATATGTTTAGTTGATCAACGCAATTAGCAGCAATTAGCCTTCAGTAAAATTTATCAATTAATTTATAATTCAGTCAGTTGATGTTTAACAATTTAAATATAGAATATAGCAGTCATCAGTCAATTAAATTGACCAATTAACCAATTAACCAATTAACCAATATTAACCAATTAACCAATTAACCAACCAACCAATCAACCAATCTATAAATCAGTGTTAAATTTATTATTATTTTATAATGAATAATTGACAAAATTTAATTAGTAAGTCATTTCAATCTGTTGTATCAGAGATTTTTAGTAATATAAAAAAAATTTACATATGCAATTGCATGTATTTTATAGATATATAAAGGGAAGGGCAACACCATTCCTTTTTCCCGCAATTTTTTCTTTTGTAAGGTGACGGTTCTTTATGTGAGTGATGCGAGTGATATGAGTAAATATTTAATTATAACCTTTTGTTTCGATGAGGGTACGCATAATAATAATATGTGGTGTGCGTGCGTAAAAAAAAATTTTTTTCAAGGTTCCACCCAAAAACAAAAAAAAAATTTTTTTTTATTAATGATTGTGAGTATATTTTTAAATATGATTGATATATATGATTGATTGATATATGAAAATGGTGGGATGATGAAACGATGTGGTTCGAATTATAAACAGTAGATAGATGATGAAATAATGATGATACAACGAGTATTATTAATATATAAAGTTCAGCAGGCAATTGCCGAATCTCAAATGCTAAGAGACATTATTAATATTATTATTATTTACAATATGTAGATCTTGTACAATATAATAACAATTATGTACAGTGCGTGTTTCCCATTAATTGTTTTTTTTTAATTGTTTTTTTTTAATTAATTGTTTATATTAATATTTATATATTGTTTATATTGTTTAATAATATTTATTTGTCACTCAAACAAGTGGAAATTGGAGTTAATAGCAGAAAAAATTTCATGGTAAATTACAAGTAAATAATAAAAATATAACAATCGGATTTATATTTTATTAACAATAACAATAATTATCAACATTGTTGTTGTTGATCGAGGGAGAATTAATTATGGAAGGAATTAAAGGGAAGCGGAAGAAATTGGTAATTAAAGAGAAAAGAACTAGACTATACTATAATAATTATTCAATGAATATATGTCTACAAATGTCTGCAGTTGTACGGCGAGTCTCAATTTAGCGGTATCTTTTGAATTTCTTCGTTGATATTTAAAAGTAGACTGTAATACATACATGCCCTATGATTTGTTTTGTCATACAAACAAAAAATATGACCCTAGTAGATAGATGACCATCTAATTTTATCTTTTCGATTTTCGATCAATGGATTATTCAAAAATTTTCAAGAAATCGTCCACTTATTTCTGAAAGCATAAGTAACTATGACAAAAGTGGTTTTTGACAAAATTTTCAAATAACATGATCAGCAAAGGTATTATATGAAAAACTGCCATAAATATATGACCTTCATATATGTTACAGTCTATTAACTTGATATAGACCGATGATGATAAAAATAAACAATTATTTTATTTTTATATTATATTATATATATATATATATATATATATATAGAATGAATAATGAAAAGTGGATCAGCTGTTTAGAAATGCCCGTTATGATGAAAATCGATGTAAATCTTTACCAAAAAAAAAACCAATTTTGTTTTTACAATTTTCTTTCTTTTATAATCTCAAAAATTATATGCAATCTAATCTGGCTGTGACTATTTTCAAATGCAAAGAGACATGAATCATTCTGACACGAGTTCACCCAAGAACTCACAAACTGGTGTTGGTTACCTTTAAAACCACTAGTAAGACACTGTGCCCAACTCAAACTAGATAATTTAAAGGGATGTGATTTCATCCCTTCATCTTCTAAACAACCTCTGCTTGGGAAAGCTCTTAAAATCAAAACTTTATCTCCAATTTGGAGGAAACAGACCATATTAAAATGGATCAGTGCTGCTCAATGGACATATATATAACAAATGTTTATAAATATAAAAACCCAATATATGTTTGTGTGATAATTATCAGAAAATTTTTGAAGATCCTGATCTCAAATTACCCTTTATGGTATTAGAGATGCAGCAGCAAATGATTGATCAAAATTCAAACATACAAATATTGCTGCAAAAAAAGAAAATTTTTAATTAAAATTTAGATCTAAAAAAAGGCAAATCACAGTCAACTATCATTATGGAGGAAAGAATAAGATGCAAATTTCATTCCTTGAAAGAATTAAATCAAATGGGAAGATATTAATTAAAAAAGTATGACTGTAATTTCACCATATGAACCAAAATCATCTTGATGAATTCTGTCTGCTTGTGTATCCCAAACCATTTTAAATTAAGGCTGATACCAAGGTCCTGAATTTTTGGTGGTTTAAGAGAATAGAGGTACTAGCGTCATTTCTCTTGATGCAGAAGTGAGAACTTCATGATTAAATGTAACTAAAGTGGTGAGGTTATAGAATGAAAAGAACAGGATCCTGCTCATGATAAAACAAATAAACATAAAAGATCACCAAGCTCACAAGAAAATTTGTAATCTTGTAGATGAATGTCATTAAGTTACTTGCGAATGTAAGGTGGTTATTAGTAAAATGTGTGATGTTGTGGGCGCATCAAAACAAAATTTGGGACCCTCAAAGTATATTACGGCCCGATATGTAGATCTAAAGTAATACAACAAAGAGAGACGCAGAAGTAGGCTTTTACTTGGGTATAGGGTTCAAATTTTTTTAATTTTAAATTTTGTGTAATAAAAAAAATGTGATACAAAATTTTTTAAAAAAATCACACAATATAATAATATAGTATAAATAATAATAATATAACATATAATAAATATAATATAAAATTAAAATTAATCATAACTACAATATTATTATCAGATCTACAGGAAAAGCACTTACCTCCTCCCCACCTGTTGACTACTAATCACAAATTTTTTTAATTAATTAATTTAATTGTTTATTTTATTATCTACTATTAATCTAATAATAACAATATTTTTTATCTTGATAATCTTTTTCTTTATATGCTAAATATAGTTAGAATAAACTAACTGGTAAAGGTAGCTTAACTAGGTAAAATTCATTAATATTAATGAACATTTGGTTAGTAGAGAAGTTTATTTTTATGTTACAGACAAAGAGGGTTTGTTAATGAAATCGGAAATTTAAAATTTAATTTAAGTTTTAAACTCAATTAAAGAGTAAATCATATGTAACATTTATTCAGTAGGGAAATTTTAGAAATCAAACAATATAATAATATAACAAAAATCAAAAGGCCCGATAACACAAACTCGATCGATAATTTATATGACATCACTATTATGGTATTAAACAATTGCTGCTAATTTGATTCCTAAAATTTCTTTGTTCGTTCACTTTATCTTAGTATTTAATGGACAATAGCGTATTGTCTTCGTGTTAATTTAATTTAATTTTCTAACCAAATTTAAATAAACCATTCATTATATAATATTATTATTGTTTCACTAAATCTTTATCCTCCCAGAAATGTTTCTTCTAGAACAAACCATATGTGATATAATTGTTATAATATATAATAAGATGATTATAGTATGATGCTAATATATTAATATTATTAGAAAATCTACACGTTACCAAACCATCTTCTCTCTTTTTCTCCTCCACACATCAAAAACAAGTCATCTTCACCTTTATCGTAAGCTACGTAATTGATTTTTATAATATCATACGATAATAATTAATCGAAGACAATTTGTTAATATTTGACTTATTTCCAATTTTGACAATTTGTTTTGTTTATTTTTTTTATTTAGGTTTATTTATTTTTTTTTATTGTAATTTTTTATTGTATAAATAGCTCTCAAGCCATCTTAAACAGGTTTTTTAACTTGAATAAAACTTAAAATAAAAATAATGTATTATATAATCATTTTTTTATATAAATAAACATATAAAAATTTTTTTTAAAAAAAAAACTTACAGTTAAGATTTTATGTCGATTTTTTTAACATTTTTTTTTTGAACATTTTATTCGTAATTTAATTAAAATTATCAAATAAATTTTCTTTTCAAAAAACTTTCTTTCCTTCTACTTTATCATTATATTATTCTTTATAAAGGCCCAACATACATACATGTATATGTATATGTATATATATATATATATCAAAAAATAAATATATAAATAATAGTAGTGAAATAAATAAAAGATTTTAAAGTGAATAATGTCTTCATATGCTGCTACGACAATTTATCAAAACGCGCATTCTTTAACAACCATACCAACTTCGAACAATACTTTCAGAGATCATCATCCTCATCATCATAACCATCATCAATCTCATCAACTACCACAACACCATCACCATCATCATCAACCTCATGTCTCTGCTAATCATATGATCTCTACTAGTACTGCCGCCACCGCCGCTACCAGTAATAATAATGCTACAACTGCAACTACAACAAGTCCATACTATCATCATGTAAATCCTCCTAATTTTACAACACCAATTGATCATCAGCAACAACAATTACTACCACAACCAATTTCTTCTCAATCAACCTCCATAAATAACTCCTCATCATGGTCATCCTTGGCTCCACATGATAAACGTTTGGCCTATCAGTCATCATCTAGCGGATCAAATAACTTATCATCTTTTCATTATCAACAATCAAACGGTCCAAGTAAGTAAATAACAAAATTAATTATACACGTGAGTGTGTGCGCGCGAAAGAGAGAGAGTGTGTGTGTATGATATGATATGCAGAAAAGTAAATGATAATAAAAACAATAACAAATATTATTTTTATTATTATTTACGTTGAAAAAAATTTTTATTAATACTACTATACTTGATAAAAACGAAATTTTTCATCTTCAAAAAAATTTTTTTATTAAATACACAACCTTAAAAAAATAATTTTCCGTATTTCTAAATTAACACGACAATGAATAACGATGATGACAATGACAATGATTTTGATTATATAATGATGATTGATGATGATGATTATGTGACTTAAAAATTTGGTTACCGTTAAAAAATTTAACGACTATTTATGTATTTATTTGTTTATCAACAAAAACAACGGAACAGCACAACATCTATTAAAACACTGACAAAATAGAAAACAAGAATCCAACTTGGCTAAGATCTGTTGTTAATTAATATTAATTATTATTATTATCGAAAAAAAAAATTTTAAAAAACAAACATTTTGTAACCAATATTTATCGTTATCGTTATCATCATCATAATTTTTAATTTAAAAATAATATATATATCCCATTTATTATCTTTTTTTTCTTTTTTTTTTTTTTATTAAAATAAATATATCATTGACGAATTATTATTTATTATTATTTTTTTATTATTATTATTATTATAGTATATTATATTAACTCTTTAATTATTTATTATTAATAACATATTTTAAAATATATTTTTTCGTAGTGCATATGGTTTTAGATGAAAAATTAAAATCATCATCATTACAACAAAATATTACGTTGACGGCCTCACCCTATCAAGTTGCAGTTGCAGTTTCTCAGCAACAGCAGCAACAACAACAAAACAATTTAATGTCACAACGAATCACCACCACCCATAATCATAATCATAATAGTCAAATCTCGCCTGCATTATCAAACTCATTGCCTACTTCACCATTAAATTATAATGACCATCACCATCACCACCAACAACAACATCAACATCATCAAATAATATCATCACCATCATCATCAACATCGTCGACAAATGATCTGACAACAATAATGGATAATAATCTTGATGGTATTGATATGAATGGTAATAATGTGATGATGATGAAAAATGGCGGTAATGCAGCATCATCATCAACACGTACTTTAACCAACTCAAAACGTGCTGCTCAAAATCGTGCTGCTCAACGTGCTTTTCGTCAACGAAAAGATCGATATATTAAAGATTTGGAATCAAAAGCAAAAGAGTTGGAATCAACAAAAAAGCAAATGGATGAGTTGAAAAAAGAAAACATGGAAATGTCATTAACTATTAAAAATTTAAGAAATGAAATTGAAAAAATGAAATCTGCTGACGGCAATGGTGGATTATTTATGAATACTAATAACGACAATAATAATTCCAATAGCAATAATAATAATAATGGTAATGAAACTGGAGGTAATAACCATAATAATAATATAAATCATTTAATTGAATTAATAGACGTAATATTATTATTATTATTGTTAATATAATTCTTACTACTACATACTACTACTACTACTACTACTACTACTACGTGCTACCACCACCACCTACTATTATTTACAACTCCAAATTAAACAGTTACACCATCACCAACCTCATCATCAAGCTATTATGGAGGAAATTCATCAACAAAAAATGACGATGATGATGCAAATGAATTGGAAGAACCATGGTTAAGAGGTAAAGACCACAGCAATAATAATGGTGTAAGAAAAGATGGTAATAATCATTATTTTAATATAAACGGTAGCGATGATTATGACAGAAATTTTAAAGATGATAATATTAATCATTATGTTTATAATCTTAACAATTCTAAACTTTAAATTTTAAAAATTTTGATTGCCCTTTAGGTAATGCTTTTACTGGAAGAAATGAACATCATCACGGCGGTAATAATAATAGTGGTAGTAGCAACGGCACTAATCATAGCAATAATCATAATAATAATCATCACCCTACAGACACTTCAGTAGATCCATGTTTTAGACCCGATTATCGCCACCGAAATAACAATAGTAGTAGTAATGGTCATGGTAGTCCATCGTTGTCTCCGCCATCAATGACCACTGAAAGAAATCATCACAGTCATAATAATAATGGTGACACCAGCGAAGACAATAATTATCACTATTTAGATGGAGGAGGTGGTGCTATGAGAAACGGTGGTGGATATAATGTCAATAATAACAGTAATGGTAGTCACAATCATCACCATCACAATAACCATAATCATAATGAGGTTGATTCGGATAGAGTTTATGATGATCTATGTGAATTATTGAAAACAAGAACAAGACCTAATAACCTTGGTAATGGTACGGTGATGATACACAAAGTATTATAATATAAATCATTACAATCAAATAATAACAATAAAAGGGAAATTTTAATATATATATATATATATATATATTTGTAAGGTTTTTTGTTTTTTTTGATAGTTTTTTTAATTTATTTTATCACAATTATTCATTCATTCCATCCATCTATGATTTTTTATTTTTTAAGAGAGAACAAGAAAAAAGATAATAATATATAATATATATGAATTAAAAAAAAATGTTATATATATAATTTCCCCTTTTTACACTAACATTCACCCCACTTTATTAATATACTCATTTCTCGTATATAGTTTGTTTATATCACGTTTGTGCTTTTATGTATATATTTAAATAAGCATTTTTATTTTTATTTTATTCTTTATTTTTTAACCGAAAAAATTTCAGGAAAAAAAAAATCAAAACTATTAAAAAAAAAACGAATAATAATTAAATATACAACTTAAGATCATAAAAAAACTTATATTTTATTATTTTATTTTTCATTTTTTTCAATTTTCTACGCGTAATAATGAAAAAATTGTATAATTTTATTTGCAGGAATTCTTCTTAGTCGTGATTTCTTAATTTCTTAATTTCTTAATTCTGTTTGCATAAAAATTTCTTTCTGTTTGAAAGGAAAAATTTAATTTTTAATTTTCAAAAACAAAAAAAAATTTAAATAAAAAATCTAAAATCATAAATATCATTAAAGCTCATGTTTATTTTGTGAACTTACAACATATTTTAATATAATGTATCTTACATCCATAAAACTTGTACATAATTAATCAGTAAAATAAAATATTTTTTATCACCAACTAAAATAATAATAAATCTTTTATTTATATAATTTTCATTTCCTAAATAATTAAAGAACAAAGAAAATACATTCAGAAGACTTGAATAATAATAATGTAATTATTTAAAGAACCAATTAATCACACACAAATGTAAAATAAATAATGATTGATTGAATCGAGGGTATCAATAAGAACAATGGAATTTCTTTATATCATTATTTATTATTTATTAGAAAGAGAATAATTATTTTGTTCGGATTACCATTCACTAATTAATTTCTCATTTCTCCCAATTTATATCTATTACATAATTATGAATTACACGATGACGCATTATAATGCAAATCAAGTAAATCAATGATTGCCAATTTTTTTATTGTTTGTTTGTACATGTGAACAACCTAAAGTATTTTATTTGATAATAATAATGATGATGATACTTGATGTCACAGATTTTATAACAATGATTATATACACCGCATGAGATTATTTTATTTATTTAAATATAAATTATAAATCTTCTTGCGTAATATGGAAAATTTGCAAACGTGATCATATATTTTTGGATCAAATTGTCATCAAAATTAAGTGTGATTCTTGATTTTATTACAAATGTATGTAATTATTGACATTTCTTTCTTGTATTTCTTTTTACGTACATTTCTTTTACATATTTTTACATATATTCTTTACACGCACATATTTGTACATAGATTGTCTTAATATATATATATTGATATGTAGATAGTAAATATAATTAATTGGGTGGATGGCTAGATTTATTATGATATCATCAAATCATTATCACAGATAGATATTGAAATCTTTTTTTTTCCTTAAAAAATCAATCAATAAATCGTAAATGAATGAATGAATGCATGGGTGAATGTATGTATGTGTGAATATGCGAGTGTATGTGTATGCGTGAATAGGAATAAATGTAAATAAGAAAGTAATGAATAGGAATGAATGAATGTGATGGATGATGTATGCACATGTAAAATAGATCTGAAATAGCAATATAGAACAATAAATATGTATTCATACTATCAATCAATCATAATAGATATTTGTAGGAACTAGCAATTATTCAATTGAGAAATTCTGATAATTATTCATTCGCATATTAATAATTATTTTATTAACTATAAAAAATTTTTCTTTTAGTATTAGAGAGAGAGATTTATTATATCAATTAATACATTTTATCTTGCTATTATTAATAATCAATACCTATCAGCGTGTCGTAATTTTTGATAAAAACAACATTCTCATTCATACACGCGACAACTTTTTAACAACAACATATGCGTGCGTTTATTATTATTATTATACGTTATTTTTTTCTTACCTTGTTACAAGTTATAATCGACGAGCGAAAAGATTCAAGAAAAATAATGTACCCACACATACAAAGTATCTTTTGTCATTGATTGTACCTCTAAATTACATAAAAAATTCTGATAAATAGTTCGAGTTTATTGAGCGTTAGTAAGTTTTATCTACATATTGGGCGAATATATTAAAACTTTGATTTATTTCTTAGAGAACTAAACAATGAGTTGTTCCTCAGATTGAAACGGGTTCCAAACTATTTTTTAGTGAGGTTTGATTGTATATATTTGTAATGTATGCAAGCGTAATCGATTTTACTTCTATCTTTATCCTTATCCTTATCATCGTTATCATCCTTATCAGCTCAACCACAACATTGACTATTTTTATTCTTGCTTATTGTTAATTAGAACATCCCCTGGATTTTTTTTTTAATATATTAATATGTAAATTTTAAAATCAAACATCGTATAACGGATGACATATAACCTCTATATAACGAGACATTTATCTGGAATATTTATGTTCGTTATAGAGGTGTACGTATAACAAGCAAATTTCGTTATAGAGAGGTATGTATAATGAGCAAATTTTGTTATAGAGAAAATTGAATATGTAAAACATAGATTTAAAATCATTTAAAATAGTCAGTAAGCATTGAATTTGATTATTTTATGCTTTATTTTCTAAGAATCCCATGGACAACTGATTAATCTTTATTTGTAACCTCAGATTCATCATCTTGTTGCTCCAAAAATAAAAGCTTTTCCAAAAAGTTTAGTAGCCTCAATACAGCTAATATAAGGTTCTGGTTCTATTTCTGATTCATCAGAATCTGATAAATTATTTACTTCATCTGGATGTAAAACTTGATTTATAGTTTCTTCATCAAATATTGAAACATCTTCAGGTTCTTCAATTTGATCTACAATTACTCTATTTATAAAATAATTAGTTAAATATTGTTACTACATTGATACTTAAAATTGAATTAATACTTGAATAATTGATTTATCAATGTACCTTTGATCAATGTTTAATTTATTAATCAAGTTTTGAATTTCAATTTGTTGTTCTTGCATACTGTTGAGTATTTGTTAATTGATTTTCATTTGTAGTAATTAAATCTACTATTGAAAGAGGTAGAACTCCAGCTTTGCACCAACAATTTATAATGGTGATGTTGGTAACTTGCTTCCATGTCAAAAATATTGCACACACAAATTTATGCAAAAATTTATATTGTGATTTTTAAAAATATTATGCACAAATGTTTTTATAATAGTTGAAACCAGTTTAAAATATAGATCACTCTTAATACGCAATTCGTGATTAAATGGAAAGAATCCATTTTAATTTAAGAAATTAATTAATAGCCAGAATCATTTTTTAATCGTAAAATGACAAAACGTCCCAACTAAATTGATTTATTACCTATTGAAGTCTTGAAGCATTGTAATTTAGTAAATTATCATCATATTTATCATATATTTGCTTTAGTGTTATTAACTCTATTATATTTAAAACATATAATAGATAATATAATAAATAATTGATTTATAATGAGCAGACATAAGGTTTTTGAATGATTTAAATTTTATCATTAAATTATCTAAATTAAAATTATAATTAATTAACCAGTTATTAACTGGTTAAGGTTTTTTTGGGAATATTACATATAAAAAATAAAAACATAATAATTATAAAAGATTGCTTGCTTCTATAACCATTTCAATTTTTTAATAATACACTCCCATTTTGGTCACAGTAAGAAATGAGTAATTTTTTTATAAAATAATATCTTCGTTTGGTCAAATTGAATCACATAAATAAAATACTTTCATCATATTCATCTAAAATATCTTTACCATACATTCTTTTTGGTCCAAAACTAGAAAGAATAGTACTTCTTCACCATATACCTATATTGAATAAATAACATAATAAGATAGGATAGATAATATATTCACTATATACATAATATATATTAAGCTAGCTATATATAAAAATAATTACCACTCCAGATTTAAATAAAACTTTGCTTAATCCAATACGATATTGTGAACTATCCAGATTAAAAGCCTCCAATAATTGCCGTGCAGCCTCTCTGCCGTCAATAAATCCATCAGGAATAATCCCTGGGACCAAGATTTCATAACGTTGACGAAATTCGACAAACCCCAATCGATTAGGGAATCCAGTACGACATATCCTAATGCCTTCAAGAACACCATTACATCTTAATTGATCAAGTACTAATGGCACATAAATCTTTCCTGGCTTTTTCTCTTCATTAGGAACAATACATCGGACAAAATGTGGATGAGTTGAGTATAATTGTTTCATTAATGAATGTAATTGTTCTTTGTGGCGATGTCCTACAGTTCTAAAGGCACCACGTTTAACACGATTTTTTGTTCCATAATCTATAATGTTATTGTTGTCACCATAAAAATCTTGGAATAAAGATGCAATATATTCGCAATTTGAGTAAGCCAGTAGTTTAGTAATATTTTCGTTCAACGGATCTTTGTTTTTATTAAGCCATCCTTCAGTTCTGTACTCTACTTTAGCAGCATAATGTTGTAATATGAAACCTTGCTGAAAACGCGGAACTTGATATATTGATGATTTGTCTTTCCATAAACTATGTAATTTTTCTACAAAAGTTTTGTCAGTTGCTTTTGGCATAACACATTCTTCATCAAGACATGACAATATTCCCACCGGCTATTTTTTCGGATATAAATAAATTTTTTTAGTCAAAAAATGGAATACAACAGTATAATTAATGATATAATAATATACATACATTAACTTTTTCAATTAAATCGATCGTTGGTTGTAGATCCAAACCAAAATCGATAAATTTCCATTCAATACTTTCACGTCTATATTCTTCTTGTTCCAATACAAACATATGATGGTTGAAAAATTGTTGTAATTTTTCATTGGTATAATTTATACATAATTGTTCAAAACTGTTTGTCTATAATTTTTAATTATAAAATTTAAATTTAAAATTT